CAGTTTGCTTCATTAATGTCTCTCATTTTGATCTTTCAAAAAGAGTATATAGATGAATGCATATATAAGTAGTTTTCTTAAAGATTGGTTATTATAACTTATGCTTGAAAAAAACAAAATTTACTATTTTAGCATGGAAATAAAATATATTTTCATTGTGAATGGTGGGTTTTTGGTTTTTATGCTCCTGGGGGTTAAAAAACAAATTTGCATTACATTTAATCACAAAGAGAAATTAAAAATAGTGACAGTTATAATTGTATTAACAAGAATATACAGATCAAAAAATCAAAGTATTACTGTTTTAACATGTCCTGAGTTGGTTGAGTTATCTCCATTTCTAAACAATGAGATAAACATTTATTTTCAAATGTAATTTTTTTATCTGTTCACCAGTCATCCTGTGTTTGGAACAATGGACTGTCTGAGCCCCAATGACACCAGACAGTACTTGTACTGCCTAACGCCCCGGCAAGAACTTTATGCTGACACAAGATTACTGAAAGGAGTGACCAACATTGGTAAACTTGACATTGTTTGGAAGACAACCATGGGAGAAAGAGGACGTCTTCAAACTAGCCAGCTACAGAGAGTGGTGAGGAGAAACCCTTTGGACTAATACCTATTTGTTCTCTGAGAGCTGAAGCTTAGCCATTGAAAAACCAATTGAAATTGAAAATGCTGAATAATAAGTATTGCTCTACCTTTGTAGCTTGAGTATCTCAAAATACTAAGAATCTTAATTATTTTTTTCTACTTTGTCTTGAACTGCTTTTGGTCACAAAGCAATTAGAAATGCGTGTTAGAAACTGCTAAGTCAGAAACTGCTAAGTTAAAAACTGCTAAATCAGAAAAGACAATACACTAAACTACTTATTTGTTGCCCATTGTTAGTAGTGCCTCATTCCTAGGACAAATGACTTTAATAAGTCAAGGAGTGGCATCAAAAGTCTGGGACTGGTTTCATTCTTTTATTCCTATTTTTAGTTTAGTTTAGAATGTAAATTAGTTTTGTAGGTTAGAATTTTACCTTGTCCATACAAAGTTTGTCACTTATATTTCTCCAGGCACCAGGTTATGGTGACATTAGACTGACCGTTGAGAGTGTACCAGATACCATTGCTTTAGAATCAACTTTTGACATAGTCTGTAGAATTACCAATTGTTGGTAAGTACTGTGGGCTACATCTGTCCTATCCTAAAAACCTCAATGCTTGTACTAATAGGATAAAATTATTTTAATTTTCAGTAGGGTCACTATTATTATTATAATAATCCACAATAGATTCACTAGCAAGCATAGGGATAAATTGTTCAAATACATTTTTTTTTTAAAATCAAATGAGTTATCTAAAAAATCACCACCAACAATTTTCTGAATTTTTTTTCTGTCAAAATTTTAAAAAATGCTTTGTTTCAGATATTGCTAAAAAGTTCTAAGAATTCTTTCATGATAAATAATTACCTCCTTTGTTTTGTTGATAAATTTGGACTTCTTTACATTTAATTCTTATAAAGAAACCATTATGAATTTAATAAGTTGAATAATAAGACTACGTTGTTGATATTTTTGTTCCCATATCTATTGTTTTGTGTAATTTGACTTCAAGTGAGAGAACAATGGACCTAACTCTAGTCCTCCAGAACATAACTCAGTCTAGTGGACTGTTATGGTGTGGTGTGTCAGGCCGACAGCTGGGCAAGCTTCCACAGAATGAGAGTCTGGACATCACATTGTCCCTCATTGCTGTCATTCCAGGACTTCAGGTATCAGTAGTTTTAACTCAGTAGATATCAGTAACAATGGAGACACAGTCACTGAGTGGTAAAGCACTTGGCTTGCAAATTGGGAGCCCAGGTTTGAATCCTGGTTAAAATGGGATTTTTAGGCGCTCTAATGGGTACTTGACATTAGTTGAGGAAAAGTAAAGGCAGTTGGTCGTTGTGCTGGCCTCATGATACCCTCATTAACCATGGCCACATAAACAGATGACCTTTACATCATCTGCCCTATAGACCACAAGGCCTGAAAGGGGAACTTTATTTTTTTCTCTATATCAGTAGCATTAACTCAGTAATATCAGTAGGATTAACTCAATAGATTGCACCATTAACTCAGTAGATATTAGCATTAACTCAGTAGATATCAGTAGCATTAACGCAGTAGATATCAGTAGGATTAACTCAATAGATTGTACCATTAACTCAGTAGATATCAGTAGCATTAACTCTTTAGAATTTCTCATTTTATTTGACAGTGTTCATTGAAATGTTTTTGCTGTATTAGGTCAAATGATTTTTAACATTGGTAGTATTTGTCAGCATGTTACAAAAAAATCTGTTTTTTACATTCTTCTCAAGTTATCTTGATGGCTTCAACTGATCTTTTTTATTGTTTTTTTATTCAGACAATATCAGGCCTGCGTCTAACAGACAACTTTTTAAAGAGAACCTATGAACATGATGAAATATCTCAAATCTTCGTGGTATCATCTCACACTTAATAGGCTCACATCCTAGGTGTAACATTGACTTCTAGTTTGGCTCTCAGACAGTTATTTAGTTTGAAATATGTTCATACTTTGATGATTTTTTATGTGTAGATCTTGATATTAGTGTTAGCATATGTGTGCACTGATGACACCCTGACCAATGTGTACAAATATTTAACATTTGTTTTTTGTTGTTCAAACTTGCAAGTATGTTTTTGAATCAGTAACTATGGTTTTGTCTTCATAGACCAAAATAGGACAATTTGTTTTTTCCTAAGTCCTGGATGATATTTAGGACAAAACCTGTGATACCCAGAATTGCCAATGATTTTTTATGATTTTTTGTTTTGAAATAACATGTAGTGTCATGACTTTTTAATTTCGTTATGTAAATGTTGGGTTCAAAATGTGGTTGCTATTATTGGTAATTGTAAGATTGGATGGTCTCTTCTTACTGGTTGCTTAATAATGAAGTAATTATTCTTTCAATTTTTCCCATTTTTTTTCATTAAAACTACTTCATAAATTTCTGATCTTTAATAATCAAAATTTCATGTTTTCCACAATTATGCTCAGTTGTTTGTTCTTTTCAATATAAATGTAATGCTAAGAATGGTTAACTTTTAGAATTGACATTATGCTTTTCTTAGGACTCAGTTTTTTTAGCTTTTCATTTTGCTTAAAGTTAGTCTAAAGAAAAGAAAATGTTTCTATTTTGTGCTTGTTCTGAAGAGAACTTGGACTCATAGAGCCTACATGGTCAAATAAAGGTACTGGATTCTATTCCACATTGTCTTCTAGTTTGAAGAAAACATTGTTTTTTTATTCTCTGCTAATGATCCTTTTAGAACATATAGGCTGAATCAAGTCTTATTATAATTTAGGAACATTTTATAATCATTGAGAAGCATAAAGGCTATATCAAGAGTTCTTTTTATTACCTTTTTTAGGAACTAAGATTAGTTGCAATTATTCAAGTCATTAGGGAACTAGATTTTGTAAATTGTAGTCATAATTTCAAAAAATTGTTGAAAACATTTTTTTTGTTTTATTTCTAAGAAGCCATTTTTCAATTTCCCAAATGTTCAATGCTACAATATTTTTGTCTAATATTGTCCAAATGTTCTTTGAATATTTTATACATTTCTAATAGCTTTCTGTCCTTGTAGTCAATAAGTTGAGAGATAAAATAGAAATTATTTCTTGAATAAATAGGCAGGTGCAATAAACTTTTACAAATAATATACTGTTTTTGTATTATAATAGCATTTTAAATATTCTTTACTCTTTTTTTTTCATTTTCAATAGTCAAAAAATATACATTATTAATTTCTCTACTATTTATGTTGCATAAAATATTTGTTTAAACGAAGAGAAAAACTGACTTATAAGTACAACAAAGTCAGAAGAAAAAAAAATGTAGCTAAATCAACTTTAATTTGTATTTTTGTGGAATCAAGTTCTCCAATTGGTTTAAAAAGGAAAGAATAGATTCTGAAATAGCTAGATGGTAAATAACAAGCTACAAAGATAAAATATTGACTTTTACAGTTCCAAAGTTTTTAAGATGTCACAATTAAAAGTATAGTTTTATAATATTTATAAAGAATTTGATCTTTATGGAAGTAGTTTGCTTAAGTATAAATGAAGTCGATGGTTTAAATTAAAAAAATAGCCAATGGTAAACATAAATAAATATTAATTCACCAATCCCAAAGAAAATTACAACACATTAGCAAATTTTTAAAAAATTGAGTTAAATGATGCTTAAAAAACAGCTTCACAGAAAAGTAAAAAGTATTATAAATGAATTAAATAAATAAATACAACACAGTTACTGTACATATGAGATTTCAATTCCTCCACTTCATAAAGTTAAATGTGTACATCAATTATTTGTCTCTACATCTGTTGTTGGTCTCATTTTTCCAGACCATTCTTTGCTTAAGTCAAAAATATCTTGGAAAAAATTTTGTTGTTGTTTTAGTTTTGATTTTTTCCAATCGTTTTCCTTTTTTTTTTTAAAGTTTCTGTTTAGAAAAAAAGGTAAGAGAAATGAACTAATAACATTTGCAGAGACAAAGAAATATTCCATAACTATATACAGATATTATGCCACAGTTAATTATTGCACTGTTCCGGCCTTGGTAAAGAAATACATAAATAATTAATATCAAAACATTTTGAAATTTAAAAAAACAAACAACTATCATTCAAACTGTCTGATATGTTTGTCAGTTTACATGTATATATAGAGTTACAATAAAATTATAGATACATATTAATAAATACATGTATAAATCAGATAATACATTCTGTCTTAGAACAATCAATCATGTGGTTCACAAAAAAATCATTCAAACAGATGTTTCAGAAACAAAAATCATTCAAACAGATGTTTAGAAAAAAAAAAATTTAAACAGATAACACAATTTCCATTTTGTGTCAAGTTGATACATTTATGTAATGCTGTATTTGGGATGTTTTCATTAACTTACTGTACTTATAGTTCTTTTTTTTTTTTTTTTTGGCAAATGCATATATTCTAATTTTGCAAATCTGTTTGTAAAACATCAATTGGAGTTATTCTTTGAAGCCATGCTTACCAAAACTTAACACCTATTAGGGGTTTCATTAGGGAACCTGGAGACTCAGTCCAAGATCATAGTCAAAGATGCTGAATCACTCACTGTAGCTGGTATGATTCTGAGATAAAACATCTACCTCTATGCTGATTCACATTCATTCTGAGCTTGTCTGAGATTAAACATCTATCTCTTTGCTGATTCACATTCATTCTGAGCTTGTCTGAGATAAAACATCTATATCTCTGCTGATTCACATTCATTCTTAGCTTGTCTGAGATAAAACATCTATCTCTCTGCTGATTCACATTCATTCTGAGCTTGTCTGAGATTAAACATCTATCTCTCTGATTCACAGTTATTCTTCATATTGCATACACTGACTGGGCTTCTATCTTCCAAATCTATAACAGTACTGACTTAAGCTCACAAATCATTGTTAACAACCTTAAGAAACAATGACATTTATTCCAATGAACCTCTCAATAAAGTGACATTTTGAATGTTTTTGTGACATACATCTATGAGACTGGCTGGTCAAGTGACAAGCATTTAACGTAGTCTCTCAGATGTATCTTTCTCTCTAGGTATTCAGGTATCCAATTAGCTCCCCAGTCCCCCCCCCCCCCCAACTAATCTAGAAGGTAGAACTGCTTTATGCACACTCACATTAAAACCCAAATGATCTTTAAATAAAACCCAACTTTCAACTTCTGCCCCTTCGAAATATTGGTAGCTATCAATGTGTCATTCAATTATTTGCTAGAGTCTGACTGTATCGGAAACGTCATTTTGTCAAATATACTTAACAAGTACGTAGGAGTTATTCTCCCTGATAAAGAATGATTTAAGCAATACTTTCTTAACAGCCTAAGAAATGTTTATCCATACAAAAAATATATACAAGGTATCTTATAGAGGGCTCTACTATTCAAACAATTGAATAAAGACCAAATTATTGCACAAATCCGGCCATGGCGCCACATAGTATTTTAGCAAACAAGGACAGGGCTTTTCTATATGTTTTTTTTAAATATATTGTAACATGAATCAGATCGATTCAGATGTATCCTATATCATTTATAGATCGAAGAACTGAAGACTTGAGTCAATAATTCAAACGTGAGGCCAGATGTGCAGGTAATGATAAAGATTAAAATAGATTTTCTTGTCGGGGATTTAATCTTGGACTCATGCAAAGGAACGTCCTTTTCTTACACATTCCTGATTCCCAGAAAGTCAAAGTACATAGATATAGTGCATACAACGTAAGGGAAATGACTCGATAGAAACCGGTAAAGAAAAACCCGAATGTTAAAAAGTCTACTAACCAGCAAAAACGTAGGCGTGGGGCTCGCTTTACTGCTCTTGTAGAACAGGCTGTTATTTAGAAGGCGTAGCTTAGTTGTAGCTATAGAATAGCCCTGTCCATGTTATACATAAAAGAAGATCATTTTCAAAGATTAAAATAGATAAATGGTGAACTATGTACAGGTTAGAGACATTGACTAGATGACCTCATCGCAAGTTACATTAGTGGTATACAAGCCTCAATTGAGATATTGAGTTGACAAAGGTAACAATAAATACACGGAAGAAATATGTACAACGGTGAATTAAAAGAACGCAAAAAAAAAATGTTTCAACACACACACACAATGGACTTTTTTCAGTCATCATTTCCCTTATGATAACATAAATCTATAGGTCTACTTGAATGTAAACAGTATACAATGAAGGATTTTAATGTGGATATTTAAATCAAACAACTAGTGTTTGTGTATATGTGTATGAGAGTATGCGTGTAAGAGTATGCACGTGTTTAGTTTTGTGTAAGTGTGAATGTATATATGTGTGCGACTATAGGCCTTAGTGTGGATGTATGATTATGTATTTGTGACTGTATGTTGAACGTGTGTATGGTAGTTTTGTTATGGTTGCTTCAACTGACAACGAACAAATGTCAAATTGAATTTCCTAAAACCCTTATACAACCTCTGCCACCATTGAAAAAACAAAACAAAACTGGAGTCGGTTTCTGACACAAAGTAGGCCTACTTCGTAATTAAGTAGTGCAACATCTGGTAGATTCAGGGACTGAGCGCACAATGACTCTCGTGTCAATGGTAAAGCCATCAAGTGCGTCTGTTACCGCGGTCGTGTGTGTGTGTGTGTAAAGGCTGGAGGAAGGATGCAGACCACTTCACAGTTCAACCTCCAGAAACACCGGTAATCTAAATGGTCGTCTTTCTTTGACGTGGAGCCGTCGTGTAGTTTATTACTGGTGTTGTACTTGTTACTCCCCTCATAAATCAAGAGTTTAGGTTTAGGTTCATTGCTAGAACATACACTCGGACTCATTGTTTACATCTTATCGACGTTACTTTCAATACAAAAATGACTACTACGACCTACGCGTGTCCCCAGGTCAATTTAGTCAGGCAAGTTACATGTTCTAGAGTGGAAAGTCAAGGAAATAAAAAAAACAACAACCTAGAAACTAGACATTACTTGAAACATTAACCGTTACCATTGTTAACAACGACAATCTCCTGTCCAATCTCCACTTACAGGTTGTAGTGTTTCCAAATATTCCCAAGGCAAGGAAAAATGAATTAAGATAAACACACATAACAGGCTAAACACATAAAACAAATAGTAGCCCCTACTGAAGTTGTCTGTTCAAAGCTGACGCTAAACTACCTATGTATATGAACAACTGGCCCATTATCAGCTATGCATTCCACACCTTATAAAATCTTTCACTCTGGCTGGCAGAGGTAGACTTGCCACTTTGTCCGCGATGTCTTCACTGATCATCCCTTGACTTGCTGGCGCCAACTCCCCCAGGCTTTGAGCAATGATATGTCGGCACCGGTCTTGCAGATCCACAAACGTTCTTACCCTCAGGCCCAACGACATGTAGGTTTTGGCAGCGGTGGAGCTAATTGTGGGATACATGTCTTCTTGAACTTGATTCACGTTTTTGAAAGCCACTCCTATGAATCAAACATTGAACATTGCATTGAGTCAAGGGCGAATGCCATTAACACATTTCAACCAGAGGATACAAAAAAAAAAAAAAGGTTTTAAAACTAAAAGTATGTCTAGATTTGTGTCCTGCTTTTTTAAAATATATTTTTAATCTAATGGGAAGAATTCCACATCTACATCAATATCTCAATATAGTCAGATTTATTTCCTTTTTATATTCAATAAATATAATCAATTACCACTATATAATAAACTAATTAGTTAATTTTTTTTTTCATAGATTCATGTTTTGTTAGGAGTAATGAAATGACTGTTTTTAAGTTAGATCCGAGAATGGGAATTGGAGAAATTGGGTGTTCAAAATTTTTACCAGACAGCCGTTACAGAGATAGTGAGCTGATATAAGACTTGTCATTAAAAACTTTAATTTACAAGTAATAACGTTTTTTCCCCCGAAAGTATTGAATAAACAAATAGTAATATGAATAAAAGGTTTTAAATTTATTTATTTTTTCATTTAAACAATTATTGGTCTGGTCTTACCACCTGTAGGCCCTACTTGAAATTTGTTTAAATATCCTCTTTCACTAAACGCCTTAATATGACATGCAAATGTTTTCACACTTATTAAAAAAAAAGATTTGTTAAAGCCCTAACCCTAAAGCATTACCAAGATTAACACCATCTTTGAAATACGTGATTTCTCTTCTCTTTCGATCTACCAGAATCCCAACGACCACTGGTGTGTATTCTTTGAAAGGTTTACAGTAATAGGATGATATTCCATTGTGATAGATATGTCCCTTATGAGACAAGCCCCAGCCATGGATGTCCTCTCCTGGGGAGAACAAAAGTTTAAACAAGAGGATAGAATAGATTGATTTTCTCTTACCTAATACCGTACCCAGTTAGTTTTACAATACCTCTATTCGTGTCACTCTTTAGATTCCTTCAAGGAGGAACCTGGGTGGATGGGTGGACAGCTGATCTCAAAAACAGCTCTGACAATTTTTCTAGAAATTTAACAGTTGAAGTATATCGCTGAGAGATGAATTACTAGCTCGTTGGCCACGAGGGAAAATTCTGTTTCACCGTTATAATTTTTCAAAGTAAAAATTTAAAAAATGTAAATTTGGCTAAAGACTAAATCTAGGTAGGCCTATAGAACGTTCTTGAAAAGACTATCGCGTTCGGGAATTTCCGAATGTAAGGCGTTATTTATTCAAGAGTTTAATAAATTAATGTTCAGGAAAATTTTGTGCATTGTCTTCTAAGTGTAGATCTAAGTGCTTATCGTTGGAATATTAAAAGATGTACTAGATCTATACATTCACTTAACCCAGGATTCTTTCTCGGGGAGAAGGGGGAAGGGGGGCGGCGTAAAAAAAATGTTTGGAAATCTAAAATTCATTAATTTTAAAGAGAAAAACAATGGATCAATAAGTTGCAGAAAGGAAGTAGGCCCTATTGTCTTTTTAAAAAAGGATTTTTAATATTCTTCTTGTAAAAGTAAAAAGCTAAAGATTGCCTTGCTTAATACTAGGCTTCAGATTTCATCCATTTTTTTTTATTATTGTGTTCATTTAAAAAAAAATATATATTTTTTCCTTCTGACACACCTGACATCAGTAGGCCTAATGGCCTTGAAAGCAGACATCTGAATCTCTATATATTTGTCTACACTCTCTCAGCCCTAACTCTTTTCAGTTTCTAGGCTTCATTTAGTTTCGAAAGCCTGACAGAGGCCACTTGCTGTAATCAAGCAAGTGGAATGTTTTTGGTTCCCGGGTGTGTGCAAAAGGAAATCAGATTTTGATTTAAGGCATATCGGCACTATCAATGTATTGGCTTAAATTGTCTTTAAACCAAATAAAATTAGACGCTAGATAACAGACTCTGATTTTATGTCTCCACGATGAAACGATTTAAGAGATTTAAAAACTATATATTAATAAGTAGGCTACAATAAAACAAGAACGAAGACAGGCCTTATGAAACAATTTTGTTCATCGTTTTAAATAACCCTGCGTTAGAGTTAGTAACGAATAAGGAGTCGCGGTGGCTGAGCGGTCCCTGGTTTAAATCCTAGTGAAGAATGGGATTTTAATTTCGAGATCGTCCACCCAGCTCTGACATTAGTTGGGTAAAAGTAAATGCGGTTGGTCGTTGTGCTGGTCACATGATACCCTCGTTAACCGTAGGCCGCAGAAACAGATGACCTTTACATCATCTGCCCAAAAGACCACAAGGTCTGAAAGGGGGAACTTAACTTTTTTTTTTACTAGGTTGCTATTAAAGAGTTCATAATCTTCCGGTGCCTAATTATCCGCCTTTTAGAAAAAAAAATGCCCATATTATCGGTGCCTAAATTTCCAGACAACATATGGGAGCACATAGTCAGTCATATAATAGATGACTTTGGGTATCATGGAAGCACATGGTTCGGACATATACTTTGATATAACAGATGACATTGAGTTTCATAACAAAGGGAGAAATTCGTGAGTATAAAGAAAATGTTTTGAACACACACAGACACACATTGCCTAATGGCTAATCAATGGGTTGGACTAGTGAATGTGTGTCGGAGTCAGAATCGGGTTACTGCCCTCTGAAACCATTGAGCTGTCCAAAT